ACACACACACACACACACACACACACACACACACACACACACACACACACAGCCACTGAAAGTTGAAAGAAGAATTGAATGGTACCAATTAGAGAGAATAAAATCATTGCTGCTCAGAGCTGCTCCTGTCTCCTTTGCTTACCCCACTGTTGATTTGCTTCTGACGTGCACAGTCACTGATGCATGATACGTGTGAACAGTTGGAATATACTAAAAGGAGCCATCCCCCCCACACAGACATTAGATCAGATGATCCAGACGGTCTTTTCCATCTCTGATTCTAATGACCATCCAGTTTGTGGGAGGTAGTGGGGTGATTCCTTCAAGAACCTATTTAGAAAAGTACCTTTTAACTTATTCCATCCTCTAACCCAGTGGTTCTCAACCTGTGACCCATGGGACGCTTGCAGCCAATCAGCACACAGCTGCAGCCCATGTGACATCCTCAGGGTCAGACAGATAGTATTGGACGCGGCACACACAATATATCATGGGTCACATATGCAGCCCGCAGTGGTAAGTAGGTTGAGAGCCTCTGCTCTAACGTATTCTATTTAGAACTTCTTAAAAGAGAGAAGTGACCTATTTTATTTCTTCTGTGTTAGCACCTAAGGACACCAGTCAAAGATCAGGGCCCCCTTTGTGTTAAACACCACACAAATAATACAAAGGCAATTTGTGTCCTGGAGAGCTCACAATCTAAGATTTAAACAAAGTGCGACAGGTGAATAAACAAAGAAAGAGGAGCTGGTGGGTCTATGTATACTTAATCCTTCCTCAGCACAGGGGGATAGACAAAATGATCTCTTTAGGGTCCTTCCAGCGCTATATTTATGTGATTCTAAGGCAAGGTAATGAAACACAAATAGACAGTTGTTGAGGAGACTTCCCTTTCCTTCTTCCCAGCTTTGGAAGAAGCTCACGGTTTGATGAACAAACCATCTAAAACTTGACTTCAGATATCTCCAGTTAAAGAAGCTGGTGGGGGCGGGGGGGTGAGACAGGTTGTAGTTGTTTTGTAGTAACTTGCTGGGAAAGTGTCCTGTACATAACAAGCAGTTCTTGTGCCACAGTGACTGGCAGCCTTTCTGTATACTCCAGTAAGGGGGACTAATCAGGTCACATCACATGCACAACTAGGATACGGTAATGAGGTTTTTTACTTTCCTTTACCATTCTACCATGGCAGGCAATGGCCCCTGCAGTTGATAGGCTGTCCTGCTAGATGGACCAGTGACTGTGGCAGCTCTGAATTTCTAATGTGATATGATGTTTGGATTGTTCATCTGGGCCTCCGTGTGATTTCCTTCATGTGCCTGGCTTTGAGCAGGCAGGGAGTGCAAGGTGGTTATTCTCCAGTGTGAACGCAAATGGGGTGCTCATTGAGGATGCGAATCAGGTTAAGTGTTATGTGTCATCCTCTGCAGTTGGAAATCCCAAGTCCTTGTGCGCCCCTTACTCTGGGTGCATGGTACAAAAGGGGAGCACGAGGATTTAATCATGGTCCTCAGTGTGCTGAGGAGATCTTGGTTCCACACTCCACTGCTGCAATTTGGTAGGAATAAAATGTCAGTCCCATATCAACAGCCTCATTAATGCGGGAGTGGGTTCCTCTCTGCTCCCCATCCTGCTCCGCGCTTTTTACCCAGCATTGATAAATGCAGTGAGGTGGAATCAGCCTCCAATGAGCACACGCTGGAGGTTTCCTGTTACCATGAGAGCCTGGGGAAAAGGATTCATTCTATTCTTGGGAGAGTATCCCACTAGGGAAAGGGAGTCTGCAGCTCCCTCGCTGGAAAAGGAAGAAGCGTAGCATTGTTCTGTCTCCTGCTCCTAAGCTGATCCGCACCGAAGCTCTGTACTTAACGCAGGGTTGTCTTTCGTTTGCAGGCTGTGCCTTCCTAACATACTGCGAAAGGGAGTCTGCCCTGAAGGCCCAGAGCGCGCTGCATGAACAGAAGACACTGCCAGGGGTGAGTCCAGATTGCTGTTTTCATCTGCACTGGGTTGTATATTACATTCCCATTTGGGGGTAGGATGATTAATGACTGTTGTTGCTCGGATGAGTCCATATTTGCATCAGGCTAATAAAATCAAGGTGCCACAATCCAGCGTAGACGTTTCCAGACATACCAAACCCCAGCTTGTTGTTATATCCAGAAGCCCGCAATGGAATATAACCCATTTGGGGCCGGATTCTGCCACCCTTTGAGAAAGCGGCTTTAGGGCTGAGCCTTCTGATTGGACGTGTGTATGAGGTAACACCTCCACCTTCCCCCCCCCCCCCACCAACAAAGCAAGGCATGACGGCAAAAAGAAACGGATTGAATTATTGAGTTATCACAGACTGAAAACATATTCCTGATGACAAAGTGGTTTGACTCAATTGCTTTAGTATTCAAGCAGCTGTAGCAGATTGGAAAGGCAGTGAGACAAGGAGAAAAAAGAGAGAGAGAGAGAAGAGAAGAACATGAGATAATGAGGAAAATTATTCACATGAGCAAGATCTGAGGTTCAGACAACACAAGCAGAACTAAAAATAGAAACATCACTCTGAGGGGAAGACCTGCCCCACAGGGACGGATTGAGACAGGTCCTTGGGTTTCTCAGGCCAGTGGTAAAGGTGGGTGGTGGGAGACATGGGTGTAGTTGGTGTATAGGGACAGGGAGCAACACAGTGCAGATCTGATTGCAGCTGGAGGGAGCATCTCTGCCTGCTCTGTCTCATGTGGATAAAGGATCAAGGACTCAGAAGGAAGAGAGAGATGCGTCCATAAAGGTTAAGGGGCAAAGGGTATGTGTGGAATGAAAAGGCTGTGAGGAAAGGTTTGCCCATAAGTCTATACACTCAGAGTTTTGAACAAAACCCTGCATGACTTTAATCTACCCCGTATGCAAGTTGGGAGTTGCTATCACTATACTCAAGTTACTCTCAACTGCTGAGAAATTGTTGCGTCTCCTGATATTTCCATGGTCCCGTATCAGTCTCTGCTTACTTATCTTTTCATCCCCTTAAGATGCCTACGCGCTTACACATTTGGTGCGATCTTTGTCATAAAGGGCATGCGTTGTGTGTGTGCATTGTTCACCAAGAATACCTTCATACCGGGTGACCGCTCCATCAAACTAATTCTTCTCCAAAATATGAGTGGCTCTGGTTGCATTGTTGCTACTAAGGGGTGATTGCTTCCTGTTTATTTTTGTTTTAAATCCATGCCCTCTCTGTGCCTGGGCTGCCAACTAAAGTGTGTGTGCGCGCACACGAACAAAAGGCAGATAATTAGCCTAGGGATGTTTCAAATAACAGCTTCTTAGTTTATATTTTATTGAGCGTGTTTTAGAGGCATACACCTGTGAAAACACAAGGCTCAAGATTTTCAAACCTGAATCCATAATTAAGTGGCTAAATTGGGGTCCTGATTCTCAAAACTGTTATTTATTTAGTGGAGCCGTTCACTAGGAGTTGGTGGACACTCAGGAATTGAAACGCAGGCTACTTTACTCAGGCCCAGAGCTCATATCGTTCCCATGAGGTCAAAGTCATGTCTGGTGTAAAACTGGAATAACTCTACTGAAGTCCATGAGAATTGCTGGGTGCTCAGCGCTTTTGAAAATCAGGTAAAAAATTATTTGCCTAAATATGGAGTTTGAGAGCCTTATTTTAGACACCCAGATTTGTAGTGGCCAAGGTATGTGTCTGTATGTTTCTATAAACAACAAAGCTCTGAGGGTGAAATCCTGGCCCCAATGAAATAAATGGCAACGCTTGTGTTGACTGCAACAGGGGTAGGAGTTTACCCTTAAGGTTTTATATCTGATACTGTGAGGGTCTGAGTACCTCTAACTTTTATCAGTTCAAATTCTGACCTCATTTGCAATGCCCTAAACCCAGACTAACGACATTGACTTCAGAAGAGTTATTCATGTTTAACACCGGCTGTAACAGCGAGCAGAATCTGACCCAGAGGGCAATGATGAAGGCTCTGTGCTGAAATAAGGGACCAGAATTTCAAATATACTGAGCACCCCCCTTTGGCTTCCATGCAAATTATTCCTCTCAGGATCAAGCCCTTCTTTCTCCCACCTGACCTGGCTGCAGACATCTTTCCATCAAGTTCCCGAACTCATCTTCTAGATGATGTTTCTCTAGTTTGTTTCAGGGAACCAGCCTTTTTGATACGCTCTCATGCCTGGATATTGTTTTATGGCTCCTATGCAAGTAGCAGGGGAGTATTTATGACATACCTAACTGTACTTGATGACATTCACTGGCAATATCAAGCATAGTTCATCACCATAAAATAAGAAGCACCCCTTAGGTCAAGGGTCTAAGTCCTCTCTCACATGAGTTCTCAAACAATACATATATAACACATCCCCTTCACCTGCTAGCTTTTGTGACACAAACAATACTACTGAGGAAGCATGAAAATAATTAACAAGCCAGGTATAGAAAGGGGAAAGTAATACATACAGTAGATCACTGAATCGAAGCTTCTCCCCCCAGTAAATTATACAGTACTTGCCCTTGTGTTACTACTGCATGCATATTTGCTATTATAAAACACAGAACTGAGTCATTTGTAATAATATGCACATAAATGCAAATGTATGGAAATGATGAGGCACCAGTATTTTGTGCATAGATCCAAGCTTCTGCCTCTCAGCTATGTATCACTGTGTTTTTAGTGGAGTGGTTACATGCACATATTTTACAGTAATTACTTTCTGGATGTGCTTTGTAAGATGACAGAAATATGTTTCACATATTTTCTTGTTCTATGTGAGATATAAAGTCATCTTGTGGAATAATCAAAACACTTCTAAGCAGGTGTGTGTTGATTAATAAAGTCTTTATGGTACTTTTTTTAGGGGAGAATTGTGATAAATATTTTGCAGGAAGTAGAACGTAATGTAAAATATCAAATTGCTTGTTGAATCTTCTTCAGCTGACTGCTTGGGACAGTTTGAAAGTGTCTCCTGCCTAAAACCAAAGGACTGGGTATGTGTGCGTGTGTGCATTAGAACACTATTGTGAGTGCCAGGCGTTTCAAATTCTAACATTTACTTGTGATTGTTTATTTTACATATAATAGAATAGCTGGATGATGAAGTATATTAGTTCTTTAATAATTTATAGAAATGCTTTGATGTTGCAGTAATTACATTAAAGGTCACATATCAAAGGTAATTTGGGTGAGCAGCTGTGATGGTTTCTCAGAAGCAATCAATATTGCTGTCCGTGGTGCTGATTTCACCAAGGGGACTGCCAGATTAAAGGAGGCTTATTACCAGCCAGACAGACACAAGGGAAATCAAGAACAGATTGGAGAGATGCACTATTCTCTTTCCCCACCTATAATTAACACTGTTCACCATAATCTGTGCTAATCCTTCATGCTGGGAAAACCACTGGCATTTTTAGACATCTCAAAGGCAAATTAGGCAAGGTGGAGTGTTTTAATGGGAGGGGGATGGGAGAGAGTACAAAAAAAGTAAAAGTTGATTCCCCTTTGGGAATTCTGAGCCTGGTAAATCTCCGCATGATGAAAGTGCAATATCAGAAATGCAGTCCATAATCTAGGAGAAAGCAAAAATATGACCCCAACAATGATAGTGCAGGGGACATGAGAACGATGTGCCTGCCCATTCAGTTTAATGTTATCTATTGGCCCCACAAAGCTCCATAGGAAATGAAATCAGGGAAATAAAATTGTTTTAAGTGTAGTCATTTTGATTACAAATTATAATGAAGCCAACTTTTTCCCCCCTTTCTTTCTTTCTGAGGCTAACGTCAGAGGATAATGCTGAGAAATGTAATTAGGCTATCAAGATCGACTTTTATTTATGACACAAATAAACTGAGCTCATGTATGATAAGCACAGTCGCATTTTTCTCAGTTTCTTTGTGGTCTCTCGGACACAGGGACTGAATGGGCGGTTGGTTGTCGGGTGCTGCCTGTTTTGTATAAAATCAGAACTCACCAGCAAGGATCCAAAGAATAAATATAAAAATGAGTAGCTGGCAAACTGTTAACCTCCGAAATTGTAGGTGTCTTTCCAGACTTTGAAATCCATCAAAAATTATTTTGTCGTCTTATTGAGAGGGGGGAAATAGTACTACAGCTGTATTATATTTCTCAGCAAGCTACAGAATTACTATTTTGCTAGTGGCACCCAATATCTCTTATGCTGCCCAAACCAACATATGTCATTCTGTATTACATCTAATTGAGTGTTTCTGTAAAAGAAAAGGAGTGTAAATATGTGTTGCAATAATATTAGGAAACAGGAGGGATGTCTAGGTGCTCTGAAGCTCCTTTAAAATTGGAAGGAAACAACAGCTATTGAATCCATAGGCATGGTTCCTGTTTCATAATTTCCTGAAATTCTCATGCGTGTTACCAATCATGCCTTGATGAAATGCACGTGCATGTTACCAATCACGGCTCAGTGAATTTCATCATGTATAAGGAGTGAAATTCAGCCCTTTGTTACTGAAATCCTCACAACAGGGCTTACGTGAGACTCAAGTGGTGCGTAGACCTCACAAGGGCCCTGTGCACAGGGCATGAATTTCACCCAGCCTAGTAGGCTGTGCTGTAATTTTACAATATTAATTCACTTTCTAATGCTTCAGTGGGTTCCCTAGAAGTTTATTAGGAAACCATGAAGTCACACATTGCCCTTCATACTGCGTTAGGCCAAAAGCTGGATTTAGACCCCCCCCTCCCTCCCCCGTTCTGAAAAGTTTTCACTACCAACGTAAATTGTAATTTGGTCAGCAGTCGCAGGATGGAAGGATTCCATTGATTAAAGTAGCCCTCTGAACATACAAGCTGCTCACCATGCCCTTTAGATTTTGAAAGAAAACACATTTAATTGTTCCCCTGGGAGAAACATGCCTGTTTCCAAAGTTAAAAAATGAAGATGAAAAGGAGCAAAAACAGATTTGAGGGAAGAGACTTGCAAG